AGTCCAGTTACAGCAGCACTAAAAATGCACCAATAACAAAGAAAGGCTGGGAAGCAAAGTGTGTTGGAAGCAGGCAAGCATCAGACAAAACATTAAACATTCCATGCTTGCTCTTTCTGAAAAGTCCTTTGCAGTAGGGCCAACTCTAGGTTTTTGATAGCCTTTGGAAAAAAGTACCCTCAATGCTCCCCATTCCTTAGTGGGTCAAGTTTTCACTGCCATTGCATCATCTTCTTTCTCGTCCTTGCCACCACTTGCTTGCTTGACAGGCAGGCAGGTAGGAAGCAAGGAGGCAATGGCAGCTCTTGTGCCTCCTTCTCCATCACCACCACTGCCTGGGCCCAAGTGAAAGCCAGGTAAGCAAGCAGGATGCCATCGTGAAGAGGAGCAGCACCTGCAGGGGCTCTTGCTATTGTCCCTTGCTAGGGTGTGGTCCCTTGGCAGGGCCCAACCATGCCAGCTTTAAAGCAGACATCATCTGAGTAACATCGCCCCAACACACACACACACACACACACACTTTGGAAGAACCCCATTCATCCTGCTTGTGATTGGCAGGATAACTGGCTAGCCCTGGTCATACACAGCCACCTCCCCTTGCCTCGAAACAAGTTTCAAAGTTTCAAGTTTCAAAAGAAAACCTGGTAAAATGTTTAAAATAAGGCAGCAAACAAACATTCAATCACATAAACCACTGAGGCCTGCCTGGCACCAACATTGCCATCTTTTTGGCATCAGGTTAAAGGTCTTCTACTCTCAGGCATTTAGTGACATATGATGGAACATGTCAGTTGTTTTAATCAGGTCTAGTTTTTATTGACATTTAAAACTGTTTAAAGTGTTTAAATTTTATATATTGGAAGTATACATCAGACACTGTGTTTCATTGTGTCTGTTTTTTTTTTATTGTAACCATTTTTATTGTTGTACTTTGATGAATTGTTGTGAATAACCACAAAGCTTTGGCTATTGGGTGGTATAGAAAGAAGAAGAGGTGGAGGAAGTGGCAGTGGCAGCAGCATGAAAAAATTATCATTAAAAATCTTAAAAGGTGGTGGTCAGTTCCCCTGAATTATGGAGTAAAGTCAAAGATGAATCAGCATTGGATACAAAGGTAAGGGCATTTTGGCGGTGGGGGGGGGGGTGGAATCGGGCTCTGCCAAGTGCGAAAAAAGAGCACTGCTGTCTAGCAGTGTTTTGGGGTAAGTTAGAACACAACTTGGGAAGCAGCATTCTTGTAGGGGAAATGTGGGTGGTTTTGATGGGGCTGCTATTATCTTGCCTAATTCTTCTAGTGACTGAGCCATGTCACCCTAACAGGCCATGTCCAATCTTACATACTGCCTTGCCAATACATATAAAAGATGTCCTGAAAAACACAGAAAGGATCACAGTCTAATTTCTGCTGATCACACATTGGAGGACAACCCTAATTTGTATTGTGCAGTCTTGCTTACTATGGGGAGAGGTGTAGAACATGCTGTGACAGGCCTTCCTGTCAACCTTTCTGCACCAGAGTAAGACAGCCCCTCTGTACTAAGGCATCTGAAGACATCTAATTTTTATTTAATGGCTTGATGGGAGCTTTCATGCCAGATTTTTGTAAACAGATCTATTTGGTCAGCTCCCAAACAGTAATCTTTAAAAACAGTTCTTAAAAATGTTGTAGTGTGGAAAATTATGTATTATTTTTATAGTGCTATGTTCTGTTTTTAAGAATGGTTGTAAACCTTCCAGAGAGGTTTGCCTATTGGCTGGTATAGACATAAATACATATGTGGGGCTACCCTTCAAGGCAGTTTGGATACTTAATTTAGTCCAGAACAGAGTAGCCAGGCATTTGATGGGGACCAATAGATATGCTCATATAACACTGGTCCTGTATCATCTGCACTGGCTACCAAATGAAGTCCAGCTCCAATTTAAAGAGATAACAATGTCATATAAAGCCCTAAATGGTTTAGGGCCTGGGTCTCTAAAGGAGCATCTCCTTCCATATACACCTGCCCATCCCCTTTTCAAAGGAGATTAGAAGAGTGGCTACCTAAAAACTTTCTGCAATAGTGTCCCACCTCTAGAACCTGCTCCCCAGAGAGTTATGCCTGGCGCTTTATTCATTTCGGCACCAGGCCAAAACCATTTTACTTCCCCCATATTTTAAGGATTGTGCTTTTTTCATGTTGGTTTAATTAGATATTTATATTCAGTTTTTGTGCGCTGCCACTGTATTGTATTGTACTGCCATCCTGGGACTTTTGTATAGGATGGGATAGAAATGCCCCCAAATAAATAAATAAAGCTAACTCAGTCAAATAAAAAATGCATCTTAAACAAGCACTCCAGATAAACCCATATTCCAGAGAATGCATTAACGGCTAGGCAAGGACGCACTCAAATAATCTCATGCTCTCACATTACAATGTGCTGAATGAAGATCACAGGAACAGGTGCCAACAGATATGGTTCACCTGGGTTTGATAAAGAATTGACTTTTTCATGCAGAAATGGCTGCATTTTGTGAAGCAGACTGTGGATTTCTATGAGCAAGTACACATCCTTAATGCATATTCTTTGCATCATAAACTGGATAACAGCAAACACACATGTGTGTGCATGTGTGCTCATGCACACACATTTATTTCACAAAGAGTTATGATGTATAATGTTCATTAAAACAGGCATATTATCAACATTCTATAGACACCCCACATTAGCATGAAGCTACTTTGGAAATATATCTGGTAGCAGAATGCAACTAATTTGCATGAATTAATTGCCTTTGTTAACATAAATTGCCAATTGTTTTCATGAACTTATTTGAGGCCAAATTAGGAACTGTTACATTCTGATGTGGAAAAGTTTAACCAGCTCTTGAAAGACTGGGGTAAAAATCCTGAATAATGAAAAGCAACAAATGAGGAAATCTTTCACCAGGTTCACAGTTATTGTACTGCATCTGGTAGCGAAGCACTTTATAAATAACAATTAGAACAATAATCCCTACACTTAGAATCCCTCAGTATGTTGCTATAAAATGTCAAAATAATGTTTGCAACAAGGCCTGTCTGCCAACTCAGAAATAAAATGACTGCTGTAGTTGTCAAGTGCCTTCGCACACTTTTCTGAGCCACATATACATGCCTAGAAAACTGCATCCATCACACAGGCAATGCTGCCATGGGACAGGAGGGCGGTCACTTAGGTTATCAATAGTAACCAACCAACCAGAATGCCATAAATTTATCTCCAGAACCGGCACAGAACATAGTAAATGCTTGATGATGATGATGATGATGATTTTAAATGTTGCAACAGCCATGAGGACTTCTTTAGGAGTGGAGCTGGTGGCTCTTAGGTTGCAACCACACTCAATATTATGCGGCTGAAATGCATAATTCATTGTTATATGCTGAGGTTTTGACAATGAAGAGAATCAAAATGGTGTCTTGACAGGCAGCTGATTCCTCTTATCTTGATTCATTCCTTACAGATAATAAGAACTTAAAAGGTGGGTTCCTGCCCCCTCTATGTCTTGAGAGGATGAAAGGCTTAAGCTCAGCTCATGTAGGCCCTACCTGACTCTCTTAGACCTCTGAACAGACAGGCTATGCCTGTGAGTCTCTTAATTAAGCGGGAAAGACTAGCAAGCGGATAGATTTTGTTTGAATAGTGGGTGAAGTACCTCTGCTGTCCCCAGAGGGTATATTAAACTAAACCAAATAGACTAAGCATTCAGTTAGCTAATGAAGGGAGAAATGAGATAGAAAGTGGGAATGTGGTGGGAGGTGGGAGGTGGGGGTGGCAAAGATGACAACAGAGGGGAGAGATCCATTTAAATGGGTATTTGGGAGAAGGACAAGAGAAGGGAGAAAGAGATGGGAGAAAAGCTAGGCAGGAATGAAAGGCAAATGTGAAACAAGAAAATGACAGTAGGTGGAGGCAAAAGGAGAGGAAGCCCACTTCATTTCTAATTTGTTACTAGGTAACATTTGTTTAGCAGCTTAATAACCGATGTTACCTGATGGCCATAAGAGCGACTTCTGTTGAAAAATCTCAGTAGGGTAATACTTTTGTTAGCACCAAGCAGAATGCTGTAAAGTCATCTCCAGAGTTGATACAGAACCAAGCAATTGCTAGATTTTTGTTTTGTTTCGTCTCAAAATAACAGCCATAATAGAATCTTTGTCCCAGAAGCTTTCAGTGCCATCTGAAATCTCTAGTACCTAGCTCTGACTAATCTGATTAAATATCAACAGCTCTTTTTAAACTCCACCTTAAGGCTGTTGCTAACTGCATACTTTCAGGCTTTAACATAATGCCCTATTTTTTCTCTTCCACCCATGCATTTTTCTTTAACTTTCAGCCTGAATTAGTGAACTAGAGAACTCAAGCGTTTCCTTGTGACTTTTGGTTGGCTCTAATAAAGGTATTGCTCTCCTGTAGCTTTTGATTTTTTTTTTCTGATGGACCAACACAGCTGCCTGTGGTTTTTATAGTCTACTTCCATCTCACTCATCCCGCTGCCAGGTTCTTTATGCCATTTGCAGAGGTATCCAATCTCTTCAACAGTCCTCAGTCCACCAGGCACTGTTGCTACTGCAAAGGGTTTCCTTCACATGTGATGCTTAGGAAGGAATGTGAATAAGAGCAGAGCTTGAAGGTTGTGAACAAGAAATAATCACAGAAAAGGAGAATGGGAATAGTTCTGAGGATAAGTGGCAAATACAGAAGACATTTTTTTACTTCCTTTCACTTCCAATTTGCTTACTGCCCAGATGAAGCCTCATGATTCTGTAAGTGGGTCTCTGACCCCATGATTTACCAGCCCCAAGGGATGCTAAGATGTCTAGAGAAAGGGCAAACCAATTTGGACATTGTTATATTCATCCCTGTAGGTCTATCAAATGTCACAACATGCTAGTCCACCCATTTCAAACTGCATAATATCATCTCTGACTGCCAAATTAATATATTGGCCTCACCTGCACCAGTCTAATTACCTGTTCATGATGCTCAATGCCCATGCTGATGGTGTTCACAAGGATGGCAATCATGATACCACGGTTGAAGTACTTGCTCTCCACGATTCCCCTCAGTTTGACCCTCACTTCTTGCCACATGTCACTGCAGAGTGTCAACTGTCCACCATCTTCTCCATCCTCTTCTTCTTTTTCTGGGTCTTCAGCCTCCACACTTCCTTTCCTTCCATCTCCCTCCTCCTCGCTATCTCCCCCTTCTTCCTGATCTGAATCAGCACTGTCGAGCACCGAAAGTCTCCGGGCTGTTTCCTGTTGGGTCTTGTGACATCTTGGACAGTCGCTGGGATCAGAGGTCAATGTCATGGCAATAGGCTGGCCTATGCCTTGAAGCACACAATCAGCAGAATTTATTTTCTGGCAACGTCCTGCATAATCAACAATAGACACATGGTTCAGACTTAAGGACTAAAGATTCATTTGTCAGAGCAGTGTAACAGTTCCGCATCTAAGTATTTAATTAAGCAAAGCAGCTCCTACAATTGGGTTGCTAGCCATTTTAACAGTGAAGAAAATTAAGCACTGGAACTGCCTGCCAAGGGAAGTGGTAAGCTCATAATCACAGAGGGACTTGAAATGAAAATTGCTTGTCTCTCAGAGACACGCTCTACTTCAGCCAGAGTAGATTGGACCTGATTGTGTTCAGCTATGTAGCTGGGGTAGAATAAATCTCCAGGCAGGAGGAATCATTAAACAAGGGGCCATGGCCTGTTTTATCCTGGAATTCAAACAAGAAAAGAAACAAAGAAAAAGAAAAAAAAGGATGATCTAATAGCTTTTTCTCTTTATAATCTGTGAAGACCTATTGATCATGTAACTGCAACTTCCATCACAACAATTTGGGGGGCACCAGGTTGGCAAAAGTTGACATAAAGACATATTTCAAAAACACATTTAAAAACATGGAAAAGGTACTGCAGGAATTGTCCTTACTGGTGTCTGTCAGATTTATTTTATTGCTTCCTTTAGTTTTTGGTAAATTTTATTTTTTTCATAATTATTCCTAATGAATTTGTAGGACAGATATGAATATGAAGAAGCAAGCTTCATGTGGCACAATAAGTTTCAAATCTCCCTGATTTCAGGTTAGGATGCTCTTACAGAGATTGGTGAGAAGTCTTACGCTTATTCTCCTTCCCTTCCATCTTTTTTTCATGCACTAAGGGCCACCTCACACATTCTACTTTATATGAACACCTAAGACAGTTTATTATGTGCATATGCAAAGTGTGAATGCAACATGCGGCATGCATAGCTAATCAGAGAAGAGAAATATTCACCAAGGAACTAGGACTCAGTGCAGCTCTCTGTACATTGTTTAGGAAGCGGAAAATGCAATGTGTGAAATCATCTAAAAGAGTTTTTCTTGACAAATGGAACAATACTGGATGGGCTTGTCCAGTTTGACAAATGTGTGATACTTCTTTAATTACCATGGCAGTTGTTACAGCTGAAACATGAGTGACTTAGGGTTCAATTCTGCGCAAGTTTGGGTTGAAAAAATATCCTAGCCCTGGTTCACTTGATGTGACAACCCATCATGGGTTGTCACCTGCAAGGGTTTGTCATGTTATGCAAACCGGATCAATTCCTGCTAGGTGGTTTTGAGTGCAACAATCCACCCTGACAACCCATAGTTTTTTCTAGAGAGTGCTGTATGCATTGGTTGCTGTGCCATCTGAACCTGTATATTGGGAATCCGCCAACAAATCACTTGACAAGAATGGCAAAAAGTCCTTCCTGTTCTTGCCAAGCTTGAGTGGGCACAATCAGTGCCCGCCACTCTACAAGGGCCGAAGTAGCACTCAATAGCAGCTGGAGGCAATGGCAGCCAGAAAGCTGGCTCACTGTGGGAAAGGATCTTTGAGGAGGTCTTGCCCAAGGGCACCTTGAAACCCAGAGCAAACACTGCCCTTCTTCCTTGGCTCCTTCTAGTTGCTTGGAACAGATTTGGAGGTGGTGATGAGCCAGCCTCTCTTTTGCTGCTGCAGGTGCTACCATGGATGTTTGGATGGGAAAGGGCATAGTTTGTGGCAAAGGCTGGTGGGTTGGGGGCTCAATTCATACAGGGACTTGGAGTTCATCATCCCGAGTCTATGTTGTTATGAATCTTTGGCCCTATCATTATTCCTTGCATATCACAGTGAAAGTGGACAAGTTTTCTTTGAGAAGAGGACTGAACATCAAGACAGGAGTGATCATGCTGAAAGAAATCATCAGCTCCAAGTGATAAAATGCTGTTATTATCAGAAAGTCTGAGATGGCAGGCCTGAGAGAAAAAGCTATTTCTTTCTCCTCATCAGCCCCACCTTTGCGAATTCATCTTGATGGAAAGTTAAATACTAAAAGGGAGTTTTGAATGTCATGACTCTCAGATAGAACTGCATGTTCAAACATATAGTCAGCATCTCCTATGAAGCTGCTTAACTGTACCTAACCCCATGCCCATGAAAGGGGATACTGCTACTACTGTAGCAGTGGTTTTCCTTTTGCAGTGCCACTTGGGAGCATGTCCTTCAGGAAGGCTAGGCTGTTTGATGCCATAGTGAAGCAAGAAAAGACCTGGACAACTGGAAAAGCATGCTAGAAGCAGCAACAGGGATGGGGAGGGCATTCCAAGAATTTGGGGTCACAGGTGAGGCATGGGTGGGTGTGTAGCTTCAGTAACTTACTTGACTAGGACTGAAGTTTATCCCACTCGGGGTAGGAGCTGAGCCAGGAATTCTAACAAAGCATGGTGCACTAGCTGGCATGATTCAGGGAGCTGCGAGAAAACAAAGTCCTGCTTGGTCTAGACTAGGCCACAACAGCTGGGATGGATAAGGAAGGATGGTCAGGCACAGGAACCTGAGGAAGGTTCTTTGCATATTTAGGCAGAAAAATGCCTTACAGTTCCCTGCATTTCCAGTGAGAGTGGCTGGCTGGGAAATGCTAGCAGTTGTAAGACTTCTTTTCCTGTCCAAAGGTACCTGGGATTGCACACTAAATCAAGGATCCCACGCAGTTTTCCCAATGAATAGACAGATTATACTCATTCCTTCACCAAAGCATTGTTCTCTGCTTGGGCCTACTAGAGAATGACTTCACTGGCATAAATGTAGGTCATGTGCTTCGAGTAAGAAAGAGGGAGAACTTGATTTGGTCCTCATTTGTAAGGAACTCAACTAATTTTTACTTTCCAGACTAAAAACTGGGTTGGCTGTAATTATCCTTTGGACTGTGCATCCTAAGTTCTCAACTTAAAATGTATTTAAATATGCATTTATTAAAGAGGAGTGCATAAAAATATGTGCATATTTTGGCATTGATTGTATACAAAATGAGGGGTTTTTTTGGGAAATGTAAAAATTTAAATGTGAATTCTCAGACTTCTTTTTTTCAGACCATGGGACAGGATGGGCTTTTGATTCCTTGCACATGAATCTGAACCAGGGCAGAAATAGCCTGCTCCCTCCTTCCTAAATTTTAAATATCCTGAACCACAGAAATGATCTTACTAGTCACTGTATTTTACTTCCTAACCCCCCGCCCCGCCCTTAGTCCAGAGGTTTGGCCTCACTGATCTTACTGTATTGCCTCTGATTGTTCCTGTTCTTGCTCCGCTTGGCAGCGCTTGGCTCTGTTCGGCCCAGGCGTCGATCCTGCAGGCTGTTATAGAAGCCGAGGGTGCGGCGTTTGGCTTTGCGCACAATGTGGCAGACATACTGGAAGATCTCTTCGTAGCAGTCTCCTGGTTCCATGTAGCTGGCCACAGTGCTGGAGGACAGGTAGCGTGCTCTCTGCTCCTGCATCAGCTGGTGCTCTCTCTGCTTGGTCTCCGAAAACTGTGTGGCAATGACCACCAGGCACAGGTTGATCATGAAGAATGAGCCCACCTAAGCATCAGTGGAGAAGAAATACCTCAAGTATAATTAATAGTTGTGCATGTGTGTGTGTTGGAGAATGCCAGGAGACGAGGGGGGAAAGTAGAAAGTATAGTTGAAATGCTGCTTCATAGTGTAATAGATCAGTTATCATTTCTTATTTATTTGACGTACTGTTGATCTCGCCTTTCTACTTTATAAGAGACCTCTAAATCAGTAGACAGCAAGCAAAATCAACCATACAGTGAGATTTATATATTTTTCAAAAAGCAGTGAAGGCTTTGGGGGTGCATACAAGGATGCAAAATGTCCATTCTGCAGGCTCCTGGTACTGCCACTACTCCTATGGCTGCAGGAACAAACCTATTTTTGGCTCAGGTCCCTTGAGGAGATTTTCAACTGCATTTCACCGGGGAAAACACTGCATTGTTTATTTTTGGCTTCATCATTACACAAGCCTGAGCAAAGCACTTTGGCTGATGGGACAAGAAGTATGCTTTGGTCAAACGTCTTGCTTGTGTTTGTCCATCTTGCTCTTTAAGAAATGCTCCATGATGCACAAGTTTTCAAATATCTTTTTTTAATTCACTAAAGATTTCTAATTTAGTATTTATCTTCTTTCATTTTCTTCCATTACATCTTTTCCCTTTTCATTTGCTCATGCATCGCTTCATGTAGGTTGTAAGACTGCAGGCAAGATTATGTTGTTTTTATTCTGTTATTTTTATTTCTAATGTTTCTATACTGTTCAGTGTCTTAGCTTTTAAAAATGCTTAAGGAATGCTAATAATTTATTCAGTAAGATAATTTTTACTGGTGCCTCTGCTATTGGGTTGAAAGCATCCGAATTACTAATTTTAATTTAAATGATGAAATATTTATTACAAAGATGGCAGATGAAAATATCAGGCCTGCATCCTCATTGGCATGGCCAGGACTGGACCCCAGTGCCAAGATCCATGGCTCCCCAAATGACCACTTGGTGAGCAGCACTGCAAGCATCTGTTTTACCACTGGACCATGAAAGCTGGCCAGGGATGACCCTGGCCACTTTCCTCTAATTTTAAAATTGTTCTATTGTTAAGAGGCAGCCAAATGGACATGTACATGGTTGCACACATTCATGTATCATGTTTTATCTTTAAAATATATTATTTTTACAACAAAACACTTTGTACCACACTGCCAGGTAAGTAATTTAAGCAACAGGGCAGTAGAACCAAAGTCCATTTTATTCCCGTAGGAATGAGGATGTTAAAATTTTTATTTTATGTATTATTTAAATACACAAAACAAAAAGGGTTGGATTTGGTGCTTTATTTTTAGCATTCGATTCTTGGGTTTTATTCTATGGTGCTTTAGTCTTTTAAACTTTTCTTGCTCATCTGGGATCTGTTTCAATGAGGAGCAGCATATAAATATTGAAAATAAACAAATTTTAAATGAGTGTAACATGTGAAGCTGCACATTTCTTCTTTGTAAAAACAGGGCTGGCAGATAGGATTTCACAAGGGGTTCTTCTTTCCCTTTTGGCTCTAATATATCAGGAGTATAGAAGCAGTTGAAAATTATGAAAAGGTGTGAGAAAGGAAGATAAATGCTAGTTTGTTCACACATGGTTGCCTAAAGCCCCCCTTCTCCATAAGACAACTCAGGAAGCAATCTTATCCATGTCCAGATAGAAAAAAGGCCTACAACTCCCAGCATTCCCCAGTCAGCCATGCCAGGGAACGCTGGGAGCTGTACGGCTTTTTTCTGCCTAGAGATGCATAAGACCGTGCCCTAAGTACTGGTTCTAAAATTCTCTAGCTGCATCACTACTTGTCATGTCCATAACAGTGAAGGCACAATTGTGGGTTCATTCCAAGTAATAGTCAAAGGCCCATTCACTGAACTTGCTATCTGAGACTTCATTATTATATCCTAGTGCCCCCTCCTATAGAAGACAGACATATAAAAAAAGGGTATTTACTGCCATCACCTGCAGCCTACCCTGAATGTCAGGAGAACAGAGACAAACAAGAAAACATGTACCCCAAGTCTGTCTGCTCAAAGAGCAATTGCATAAGGCCCACCAAACTGAAAAGATCAGATGAAGACTAAAGCATGAATGGTCCCTTCAATCCCCTGAAATACTCACATCACAAAAATGGTAGGTGGAGTGTGGGGATGTAGTGAGTTCAAACATAATTTTCTGCAGTACTAGGGACTATTATGGCTTTGCATTCCTGCTGTCCAGCGGACATAGACAAAGGGCTTCAAAAGCACCATCATCATATGCAGTCCATTAGCATTCAGCATTTCAAAGGCACCACGCCCCTGCCAGTACTCTTTTAGGCCTTTGAAAGCTGAGCATTCCTGGCCATCTTCATTATTAGGACAACATGCTGCTTCAAATTAAATATGGATGTGTTTTGTCATTGTTGTTTTTCAGTGGCTTTCAAAGCTGTTCTGCATCTGTTTTGAGGTTATCCATCCAGTCCTCCTCTACTTCAGCTGTTCTGCTCTTTAGAATGGCCTTCCTCAACATAATTCCCTCCAGATGTATTAGATGGCAACTACCATCAGCCCCAGCCAACAAGGACAATGACTGTGGATGTCCAGCACATCTAGAGGGAGCTTGAGGGAGGGTGATTCAGAATCTTGGATGTGGGCTTGAAGGAAAGAATAGGAAGCACTGTTTAGTTTCAAATAATCCCTATAATCAGTGAGGATTTTGCCACATGCATCCTTGTTCATTTTCTTATTGCCAAGGCTGTTTAAGTCTAGTCTTTCTCAAATATATGTCCATACCCATTCCTATTCTCACCATTGTCCCCTTGTACACAGAAATTCTGACTGAACACAAATAGTGAAAGTTCTTGTCTATAGCTTCTTCAAGGAAGTGTGGCAATCCACCCCCAGTCTGCAAGGTGGTAGATGAATGGAAAAGGAACATACAGAAACAGCAGAAAGTACCACTGCTATTCATCATCAAGTTATAAAGGGGTGCAGGGTTGGCCCTATCATTAGGCAGAACAAGGCAGCTGGGAAATATGCTGGGAAGCAGGCAGGAAGCAATGGTGAGGTACTGGGAGACAAAGCTGTGTGTTTTAGGTGACCTGCCCTGTGCCTCTGAAGCCAGCCAGCTGTGTTCCACTGTAGTGAAGTATGCTGCCCAATTGGTGCCATTGAAGGAAGATTCAGCTGCCTTATATATGGAACGAGAGCACCATATTGTACTTTGCTTTAGTCAGCAAGTGTCCTGGGTCAGCCATGAAGGAATGCTTGCCAACTATAATTCCTGCCCCCTTTCACCTAAACAGTCCACACAATAGCAATTCTAAGGGTCCTGGGCACTCCTCGCATTAAGACAACCAGACAAATGACTTCTTCAATAATAGTCCAACACATGTCCCGCATTTGCTGATTCTAGGCAGTCAGCATTGGTTGTGCTGCCTCCTGGAACCACAACAAAGACCATCTCTGAAGGAATGCCAAGATGGGGGAGAGCCCTATCTTTCAGGGATCTATGGGAGCAGCTGAGGGGTGAAATGCCAGGTTTCTGAATTTTCCTGGGAGCCACACAGGAAAGGTTTGGGAGCCTGGGAGAGTTCTGGTGAGGCATATGAACAGAGAACAAACAACACTATCGCATTCTCAAGAGTAAAACAACTGCAGTTGGACATTCTTTTCAGCTGTCACCCATGATGAAGTTCTTCAATCCCATGGTGACCGGCTGTGTTTAAAATACTCCCCACTTTCCTCTTTTCATTAGCTTTTATTGCTTCTTCTTAATCTCCTCCTTAACTGAGGCATGGGGACAATAGCTTGGAAACACAGGAAAGTCTAAGAGCTTACATCTCCTAGTGATGAATATGACAGAACAAGTAAAGCTGGAATGACTGCAATGCAGGTTCAGATTGTCAATGGTGCATCAACTTCCTATTTGCTCATTTTATCTAAAATTAATTGAGCAAAAAAGAAGGTACCAAAAAAAAAAATGACACAAAAATCTCTGTACCCATTTTGGATCAACATTTGGTGATATTTTGGTGGTATTTCTGTCACCATCAGTGCTGCCTTTTTCCTATCATCCACTGTGTCCCATATTCATAAATCATTTATTATTATATATTCAATGTATATGCCACCCCACTAGCTATAGGATCTCTGGGCAGCTTACAACAAGTCTTAAACCTACCTAGATAGTAAATTCTTGTGAACAGAGACTGCAATTCGTGGGTATGAAGAGTATGACACCTATCAAACATCCTCAATTATAAAAAAATATCATTTAAGTAAGGAGAACAGGAGAAATTGTGGAGAAGAGTTTCTATGGATTTGGAGTGAAATCTAGCTTCCAACTGTAGAATCACAATACCAGAGAGCTGATTCATAAATTAACTAGAATGATTTAGATATTTCAAGAAGAGGAGCAGAAATGTTTTGTCATCTAGAATTTCCTATAATTAAAAAACAAACAGACACTCTAGGGGTACTTTTGGAAGAACATATGCCACCTTTCAGGCTTCCAAGTAAATTAGGACATAGGAGCTGGTTGACTCAGGTGAAAGGACAGTTGTACTTACAATGATCAGCAAGATGAAGTAGATGAAGTTGTAGAATGAATGAGCATCCATCACATAGTACATGATCTCCACCCACCCTTCTAGAGTGATAACCTGAAAAGGGGAAAAAAAGAAAATATTGAATATTTCAGTAATTAAAGAAGGGCAAGATGTTTGAATGACCAGATCGATTTGAAAGTGCATTACTTAGCCAGCAAGGGATCTCTCAAAACAACATCAGCAAAAAAATCAATGCCAGTGGGGAGCCTTTTCAGCCACACAGCCAAACTGCAAATTTGGAAAAGTCTCAGGGTCCACATTTTGCCTTGGATGGGGCCAAATGTGATTATTACCATTTGAAGCCTATGCTGAAGTAAGCAGGACAAGGCTTCAGCATGTCTGTTCAGAGGGAAGTGGGACTAAATCATGTAGCAGCTCTTTCAAAAAGCATTCCAAATGTCCAGCCCCTGAATGTCCAGCAAAGTGCATACTTCAGTTCTGTGCAATAGCTTAATTCTTTGCAGAGCGTTCAAAAATTATCTGCCTTTAAATGCCTCTCTTGGAGAAAACAGCAACAAAAATAAAATAAAATAAAATAAAATAAAATAGCATGATCCTCTACAGGTGGGAGATTCCCTATCTCTGCTTTACGTCTTGACAGACCACTAAAGTAACACTAGTCTGATCTGGGTTAACTGGGTAGCATCTTTCCCCTGTGGCATAAATGAAAGGATAGATCTGAATCTAAATTACACATTTAGCTACATGAGCCAACCAAAATTAAGCATTTCTATGTAAATCCTACTGATTTAAGGAGAAAGAGTTAACTCCCTTAACATTCTTAACTCCCCCAATTAAATGAGAGAAGACTTACTGCTAGTCTAGTCATGCTCTTAAATTCTTGATCATTTTAAATGTGAAAGTACTTTAAAGATTTAGGGTGCATGCCCACATCCAGCTTGCCATGTTCTGAAAGTCAATGGCTTTTGTTTTAAGTATAAATGCTAACCAGATAGACAGTCAACCAAGTAAATATGCAAATAGCAGCAGTTCTCTCCAACACATTTCAGCAGTTTTAATAGCAAAAGAATTGCAGTTGAAGAAATATAGCCAGAGAAGAGTGTCAGAAGTTATATACTTGGGGTAGGCTACCTTTGGGGCCTTGTGGGCAAATCTGACCCCTTGAGAAGCAACATGAGTAATACTACAAAATGGCTGCCACAGGAGGTGAGACCAATGTCCCACCCAAGTGTACAATGTAAGAGATGGGATCTGAGCCATAAGATGCTGAACCCTTGGACCCAGAGTTCAGCACCTTTTCCTTTTCCTTCTTATCTTTCTTAGTGGCTCTGTGGGCTGCAATCAGATGCTGACATTTTCATTTTCCCAAGAATGTCTCTGAGCCCTATTACATAGCAGTCATGGGAAATCAAGATCAAAGCACCTATAAGCCCTCACTTTGCTTTCAAGCAATCATTGCTACCAGTCAGAAAATGTGATAATTATCAAAAAAGTGAGAAGGCAGGACACCTTGGTGAGCATCAAAAAAGGTGTCCGAGGGTATATTGGTTCCCATGGACACCACATTCCCTACCCCTGTTATTCACTAATATCATCAGAGTTGAAACCAGTAAGTAAATTCACACATTCAGTTTAAGTGATAGTTGTGGTAGAGGATCTATATGGTTGAAAACCATATTCCCTGACAGGCTTATTCCAACTGACTGCTGAGGAAAATACTCAAAGTGATAAAATGTAATAGTCCACCATGACTGACAAACACATTTTCAAGTTATCATATAATGGCTGGAGTTAAGTTCAGTTTCTAGTTTACCCTGTTCTAAAGGCCTACTAAGTTAACAAGTAGTTTAATGAATTCTGCTTAAAATTAGATGTAAAATATTGTTGTAAATATTGTAAAATTAGATGCTAAAGCCCCCCCACCTCAGTTTAACCTTATCAGGAAAAGTCCCCTTCCTCTTCAGAAAAAAGTCTTACTCCAAACCGCATTTTTTACCAGGATCTCTGATAGTATAAACTGGGTATACTATTCTCTGCACCACTAGGACAGACTTTTGGTAACTGAGAGAATTCTCGGCCTAGTCTTTGATATGCTGCATATGACCAGAACTGGAACTTCAGTTCTTCAATGCAAGCAGGACCATGTGACTTTAGGAACTAAGCCCACTTCTCCCAAAATGTAGCATTTCAAAGTTGTTACCTCAGAATCTGAAGTAAAACTGGAAGAAGAGGTGGGGTCAGAAAGGCCAAGGCCAACAGACCCAGTGAAAAGCCAAGAGTTGGGTGGGAACCAGATCATGCCTGGTTTGCTGAGAAACTCCACTGAACAAGCTCAGTTAGAAGGGAGTGGATGTAACATGATTAGTCCTATAGTGTGGCATGGGAACAAAAGGATGCTCCCATTGCCCAGCCTACAAGCAGCAGGAACCACCCTGAGGGTGGAGTTAGTTCCTTTTGGTTGGGAAGGGAGAAAAGGGATTCCGTCTGGAACAAATTGCTTAGCATTACTATTTCCCTAAGAGGTGGTATTTTAACTTTGCTAGGATCTTTTGGTAATGACTTCTGCAATACTCCTCTTTTGGGTCACAAAGCCAGTCTAACTGGCTAGTTTTAACAGTAATTAAAGTCTGTAGTTAGAAGCCATTTCTAGATCTTCTTGGGGAGGGAGGTGTGCGTGCATGTGTGCACATGTGGGGGAGGAGACCAGCCTATGACAGGAACTAAGACAGGCCGCATATAATTTCTGCTCCAAACTGTTCTTCACTCTGGCTGATTCATCTGGTGGGGAAACCACACAGATTGTCTCACCTTGCCTCTGTTGGTAGCCAACCTCCACCCTGACTTTGACTGCATTACTCTGGCACTTCCCTTCTGAGATCACTAACCAAGAATCTAAGACCACTAAGCCATCTTTGACTACAGCTCTCTCTGCCTCTGGCTTTGATCCTGGTTTGCCTGATCTGATGTTTGACCTTCAACCTGCCTATGTCCTCTTGACCCTCACTTACCTTTGCCAGAATCATACCCCAGCAGTAACTATCATCAAGCTTGTCTGCTGGCCCAAGACTTTTGCTATCATCACATGAATAAGACAACATGTGCACAAATACATCCAACAACTTCAGCAAAGGATTGGCAAATCACAGTTGAGATGTTGTGCAGACCTGAAATATGGAATGAGTACTATACCAGGTCCTGGACATTTCAGCTCAGATTACCTGAAATATAACAATCCAGGCATAGCCAATATTGTCGAAGTTGATAGCCCCTTTGTGCGGGTTGGCATTGCCTGTACGACACTCATTATAATACTGGTTCCAGTTGACACACATGCCACTGACATTGAACTCTTGTCTGACAGAGGTGTAGTAGTAATAATCATCCTTGTCCAAACAGCATTCATGGCCCCGCTCTTTCAGTGGGGGGATCTCGTGGCAGCCCATGATGCCATTATCTCCTGTCAGCGAACATATGAAGGGCATTTCATCGTCCTCCTCAGGTTGATAATAGGGAGGAAGGGTGATGTTACCCTGTCTGAGAGGACAGAAAGAACACACTAATGAAATAGTTATGGCAAATGCTGGAGTTATTATTATTATTATAACATTTCTATGCCGCCCCTTGCCGAAACCTCGGGGCAGCTTACAACACAATAAAATACATTGAAATACAATAGAACATAACTACAGAGACTGGGAGTACCTAATAGCTTCCCAAGCATCCAAAACAACTGAAGAAAAGGAGATTGCTTATTAAGGCATTTACAGGAAGGCTTTTACTAGTCCTGTATTCACAGGAAACAGGCTGTAGTTTTGCAAGCTTCTTCACCCACACTTAATTTCCTGTTTATCAATAGCTGCATTTGCTGTGATGGCCAGCTTGGCAAACTAGGGTTAGTGCTTACCCTCAAAACCAGAATTAGAAACAGCAAAGCACTGTTCAGATGTGTTTACCCTGCATGTTTAAAGAACAAGCAGAGCTGTGGATAGCTGCTCTGCATCTCACATCCTGTTCTTAGCTGCCCCACTCTGACCTCCCCATGTTGAGGAGAAAAGTCTGAAGGGGGCACTCCTTGTGTGTTGAGCTGAATGCACTAGAGCGCACCCTGCTATCAGGAACCCCATTCTGGAAACCTGAATTAATCTAGAATAGAGCAGCAAGGCTACCTACTGGGACTGGCCTCTCAAGCTTATTACACTAGTGCTGTGAACTGCATTGATTGCCAACCAATTGCTGGGCCCAATTCAAAGTGCTGGTGCTTACCTTGAAAGGCTGAAACAGCTTAAGGCCAATGTACCTTAAGATCAAGGCCTTCTCCTATGCGTTCCTATATGGCTAAGATCATCTTCAGAGGTTCTTCTCTGAGTGCTGTGCAACAGGTGATTACCTGAGAAAAAGCCTTCTGTGTAGAGAAACTTTCTTTAAGGATCCCTTCCCAGGTGGATCTGCCTGGAACCCTCACTGTGTGCATTCAGATGCCCTTTTAAGACCTTCCTTTTCCAGCAGGCATGCAGTCTCTGTGCAATTGCTCTGCTTATTAACTTTACTGCTAGCTTTTAAAAAAAATTAAACATTGAAATATCTTGATATTTTCTGTATGCATTGTTCTTGATTGTTATTTTGTATTCATTTTTGTTTGCTTGCTTTTTATGACTGTAACCAACCCTTAAGAGCACTGACCAGTTGGGCAGCATATAAATTTAATAAAAATCATGTTTAACAATCTTGACAGTGCTTTCAGCTGAATGAGTGAAGAGTACTGGAAGTGCACAGGTGGAGCCAACATTCATGCAGATGCTGGTGGTGGGGCTAGCAAACACATTCCTCCCCCTTGCATGTGCTCCAAATAAGGTTTGGGTTTATGATTGTGGTTTGGAAGGCAAATGTCAATAATGTTTTGCTCATTCTGGGGCCATGGCAAATGGCAGTTAGTGCTCAATGGGCAATGGAGGAAACAAACAAGAGGCAATAGGGAAAAGAGAAGGAGAGAGATTGTGGCCCATTCAAGATGACCCAAGACATGGTTTGGAGGCTGATCTCAACTGACCAACAAGCCCCAAGCAAAATCCAGTATCTCTACATTGGGAAAACGATTTTGAAAAAGGTCACAGTATGAGTGCAAGTTTTTATCAATTGCTTTCCCCCAAGTGGTATACTTTAGATAGACCTAAAATAGATAGCAGATGCATGCCTCATACAGCAAATGGGTAATCTGGTGCTGTGCCAGTGTATGGAATGATTTAACACACTTATTTCCTAACATCTGACAGTGATGCTTCCCATAATATTGAATCCAAACTTAAAAGTGTAGAAGCAAACCCACAGGAATCGAGATTGGTAAAAATTACAATTGAATGAATATTCTTAAAATATTACAGCACCATTTAAGCAACAAGCTTGCTTGCTGTAATACAAATGCAAGGCTATTTTACAGATGTATGCCAAAGATGATTTGAATGTATACCTGAAAATATAATGTGAAGGCAACAAATAAATATTTGTTTATTACAATATTGAGCTGCTTTGGGAGAGTTGTGCCTGAAAGGTGATGCAAACATACCAGAATAAACGTGGTTTTAAAAGCATGTCTCCTAAAGCTAACTCTCACCAGGTAATGGGGACTGACTGCAGTTCTTGCTGGGTAATGTGTTAAACAGTCCTGAGGATAAGCTATAACCTTAAAAGAGCTGATCCCTGCCTTAAACTGCACTCACATGATCTGACATTACAGAAGGACTACAGATCTGTAGGGCCAAAGCACTGGGGCCAGTGCCAACAGACAGGTGATCTTGCCGGAAACCAGAGGTCTTAACACTGCCCTCCTCCTGGTCGCTGTCAACTCAGCTGGCATGACACCTGCTCGAACAGCAGGGGGTGATTTGGGGAAGCATGTGGCAATTTGCTAAGCAACACCTCAAAGAAGGGGGGGCAGGAGTGGTTAATGTGCATATACTGGGCAAATCTAATCAAGTACCCATTTTGATAGTGATTCTGATTCAAATTTAATAGGGCCATTTGTTCAGTGACTGTTTTGACAGGAACACCAGCCTGTGTTGAAAATGAAAACATATTTTCAGTATCTCACAGAAAATAGCAGCAGTTCCCTTCCCAAATGTAAACATTCCAGAAGCTGGAGGAAAGTGGGGGAGTTGCATGTGTTCCAGGAAGACCACCACCACCACCACCACCACCATATATTATTATTTAAAGCATTCATATACCATTTGATTAGCACAATGCTCTCAAAATGCTTTACACAATGGTAACTGTCACACATCATCATAGAGCTTGCTCAGCACCTTCCCTCCACTCACAATCCTGGTCCCGTTATCAGTCGAGTGCAGAGTGGTTTGTGCAGTATGTGGGATCCAGCATACGGCAAGGTCATGGGAACACAGGAAGCTACTTTACACTGATTCAGGCCCTGAGTCCTACTAGCCAGGAGAGTCCGGTGACTCCTATGACAGTGGGGCTCCTTAGCCATTGCAGCTTTTATGCTAGGCTTTATAGGAGCTGTCTGTGGTGGTGAATCTATTTTGAGGTGAATTTCAGCACCATGGATAGCTCCTATAAAGCTCAGAATAAGAGATGCAAGGGATAAGTAGGCTCCATAGACAGAGGAACCACTTGCCTGCCCTGCATCTAGCCCAGCAATGTCAGCTCTCTGAGGTTCCAGGCAGGAGTGTTTCCAGCCCTACTTGGAGGAGCTGTAGACTGAACTTGGGGTTTTGCACATGCAAAGCATGAGCTGTAGCACTGAGCCACCATGTTCAGCTAGGCTGCACCTTTCCCTTTTCCTAGCGATAGTTTAATCATTTCATCCCTTATGCAACACAGCATATGAAGCTAGCACAATGCAAGGTAAAATTAACTGCTGGAAGCAGCATCCACTTCTGCTGATATGGGACACCCTTGTAGGATGAAATGCTGGCACATATTACAGCCATTCCCTCATTGAATCTGGTAAGATCAGGGCACCCTGTTTTATGATCTTTGTTTTTAAAGTTTGCCTCAAAGGGGCAAGGCCAGGCAGGGTTGGGAAATGTCTTGCCTGAAACCATAGAGAGTCATTGCTGCAGTCTGTGTTGACAGTACTGGGCTAGTGGACCCCTGGTCTGACTCAGCCTGAGGCAGCTTCCAATGTTCCTGTGCACGGAATGTCCCCAGCAACTCTGTGATACTGTGATGATTAATTGGATTTTCTGTTGATGCCACAAAATGTGACAGTAGCCTCATTAACCCCACAGGTCCTTTAAGAGGCAGATGGCACTTTTAGCATTTGTACATAAGGAAGTAGGAGTTGGGGAAAAGCACAGACTGAGATGCTAGGGTGTGGGGCTTGTTCAACAACAAAGAAAATAAAAGCGAGAGTAGGTTGAATTCACCAATAGAAAAGGGGATAATGAAATCATCTCCCAATCACTCACATTGTCAAGTTCTCTTCCATGAAACAGCGGTTTCTCAGTAGACCAGCCCAGAGCTGCACTCCAATGATGCCAAAAATGAAGAAGACAAAGAAGCAGAGAAGCAGAACATTCCCCAGCATGGGTAAGGTGTCCAAGAGCAAATTAACCAGGATTCGCATGCCTGAAAGAGGGACCAGAGCCAGGAAGGTAGAGGGACAGATCATGGCATAGGAGCAGGGATGGTGGTCAAGAAAGGAAAAGGAAAAGGCAGAAAGATGATTGCAAGAACAGAAATAATGGGGAAAGAAGGGATAAAACATTATTGGAGGAAATTATAGGTGAATAATAAAAGAGAGGCAACAAGAAAACCCAATACAGTTTGGTAACTTGGAATTAGGAGGAACAATATCACATTTCATCTAATGGTTAATCCAGTCATGATTTACAACGCTATATATATTTGAGATATTCTTATCTCAATGTTTTACTTTGATGATCCCTACAATGTCCTAAAGTTCACTTTTTGAAGATAGAAGCAACCCAGGCTTTGGGGCTGCCTTTCTTGTAAATTTTCTGAATTTAAAAATCTGGAAATCCAAAGGTACCCCTCCTGCAAAATAGCAAGATAAACCCCATTTTGACCTAAAACTGATGGCACTTTATAATAATTTTACCACTTCCTCAGGGAGTTAAATATCTTCTGATTTGTTCCTTTACAAGTGTACTTATGACTAAGGATAAACTGCCACCAGTATTATCACTACTGTTATTTGGTCATATATACAGGACTTCATAATGCAAAGCATTCAAACAAAACTTGTGTCCAAACAATGATTTGGCAGGTCCTCAGCAGTCCTAAAACCACTTCCTCTGAAATAAAATCTCCTAACAAGGAGAGTATTTTAGTTCAAAATGTATTACATTTTGTCATTGAATTCTATTTTTTTCACCCACTTTTATTCTGTTTGGTCATGATCAATTGGCTACCAACATCTTCTTGTGTTGTCCATGGCTGCTTTCATTCAGTATATCCTCCTCAGTATCAATCACATTCCTAATCCCACCACACGTACCCCAGCTGTTTCCTTCTTGTCTGCTGAGAATCAGTCCTGCATGTGGCCAGGGAATTTCACTTTACAAGTTGCTGCATGTAGGCCAGCATATAATTGACTAATTAGCTATTTATAACTAGTTCATTACTTTAGATGGCTGGGGAAGGGGAAGGGAGAAAGAAAGATAAGATTAGGATTCAGTGACAATCCCCCGAGGCACAAGTTAATCCCCTTTTTATGTCCACTGCCAAGTAATTAGCCACATCAAGTTGTGCTTTACACTTTTTCTCATTTTCCTGTGTTATCTGTTCCTGCGCCTGGGAATAAAGGACTCTGAAAGCTAAAAAATAAAATACAGAAGTGCATGGCATTGGATAATATAAAGGATTAGGGCATTCACAGGTGCACGTTTATTTATACAGGTATAGATGCTAATTCCTATGAAAATATCTTGAAGTATTTGATGAATAATTTGGGTCCAGCGACCTTCTTTCTTTAAGATCTGTGAAATCCAAGTCAAACAGAAAGAAAAGAAGAGATGTCCAAAACTGCTCACATTAACACCAGAGGCAAGAGTATAGCACTTATATACACAATCCATTACCACCAATTAACTACAGGGACTTTGATTTGCATTAACAGAGTAAGACAGTTTTATAATAATTTTACTTGTCTCAAAGAATTAAATGTCTTCTGATTTATGCCTTTATAAGCTTATGTATAACTAATGATAAAATATAGCCCTTGGCAAATGGAGATAGGAAACTGAGTCTATAAAAGTTTCACTTGGGACAGATTTATGGGACAATTTAGAGGGAAGCTGCAATTCTAAGCCCACTTTCATTCCATTCATTAAATGTCTACACTGTCCAGTAGCCAGTGTTCTCTGGGCAGTTTACAAAATTTCAAACTTTAAAAATTCACTCTCATAAATAATATAAAACCTATTTACATGCAAACATATCAATAGACAAAACACATGAGCGAGCACATACACAATTTAACAAACATCAGCAAGATACACTGAAGTATTAAGCTCCCTCCAAACAAAGTAGGACTCACTTTTGAGTAGGGATAGAGAAGAAATTATTTTAGTTTGGAATGAACTGAGCTAATCAAACATGCATTTTTAAACCAATATAGGAACAAAAACTACATTATCCTTCAAATGTACACTTCTCTGAATTTTGTAATAGAGCTTTGTATGCATCAAAACATGCATGCAAAATGTGTAAATTAGGAAGAAGTGCATGCAAATCCATATATTAATAAAACTTCATTACATTAGAAAATCTATTTCCAAAAAGGTGTATATGAGGCATATGTGCATAACAATGCATGTTTTAAGAGAGATGCATCCAAACATTCACATGAGTTTTCTTGTAAATGTAAAAAGACAATCTCAAAATTTGGAGTAAACCAAACCCAAGACTGAGAAAATAAGAGATTTCAGACCTCCTGCTATCAGGATGTCACACCATGAACTGGTTGGTTTGTTTCTACAGCACCAATTAGTCATTAGTTAGCAAACAGTCTGGGTATCTTGCTCAGGGAATATTGTGTGTACCATTATAACTTTCTGATACATGCTAATAAAAAGAACAACAAAGTTATAAGTCCTGTGGAGAAAGCTTCCAGTTTCTCCAACCTCCTTCTCTTCTTCTTGCACATGCTGGACCCGGGCACAGCATGCTCCCACTCCAGCATTTGTCAGATGAAAATGGATTCACTTTTGCCTTATGTGAAAAATCAACCCCTCACAGTAAGGGAGAGAGCAAGCAGCATGAATGTGCCAACTGCATGGGCTGCAGGAGTTGACATGCCCTGCAAACAAGTGCAGCAAAAACAACGTCATGAAGCTTATCCATGTCTGGGTACCTTATATCCATTTCTTATCCTATCATGAAAGTCCAGATACGATAAAGCACAAGTCAAGAATGTCTCCGTTCTTTATAGACTAAGAAAGTTAATTTCCTAATCAAAAAGTCCATCTAGAGGATATGCTTTGATGATGGCGATGCACCCTTAAGCAACCAGTACCCTTAATGAGAAAGCAAATATTAGGCTCCTATCTAATACGTGCAGTTGGAGAACGTGGGTATAACAATCACCAATGTCACTGCCTCAGATCACATCTTTGTTAATTTGAAGGCTAAGAGATATATGTACTGTGTACCTTTATATTGTTTTAAAGGAAAAGCTGATATATTTTATTATTTCTAAGTAGAATTGCATGAAATTTGGATAGTTGCCTCTTTCTGTGGAGATCAAGCCTGCCAAGTTTCAGATGAATAACTGTGAGAGGATTTGCATAAGAACAGCCTTTACATTTTGGGAGGTTCTCAAAAGAATGTTCTTATCCCCCAGTGTTTCCTTGCTTGGTTGGTTTTGGTGAGCAATTGTTTTGAAAATGGGCATATAATACAGAAGTTGCCCTAGATAAGAAACCTGCAACATTTCAAAATAAAAGCTGCAGAAACATTTTTTATAAAAGGGGGAGGGGAGATTTGATGTGCTACCTTTTATTCCTTCCATGGATTCTTTATCAGTTTGTATAAAAACAGCATCACTCATTGCTGTGCTTCTTGACAAGACACCTGCAAAATTTCAGAAGGATAGATGCAGGGGCTAAAGAGTTTAATGGGTGGAAAAAGAACAAGGTTTTTCTTTCCTGCTCACTTGGCATCCTTGTCAACATTTAGTGCCAAATGTTGCTTTTAGTAGCATGAATCAGAAAGTGTGATAGGAGAGGAGTGGATGATGGATGCGGAACATGTAATCCAAAAGAACTTGATTAGACAACATTTTCCAAGCAAGATGTCTTGAGCTGAGGTTGCTCTTTTGACCAATTAACAATCACAGTCCATTTGCCTTGCAACTTTTTTATTGTTCCTAAGTGCAAAGCACCCAGGATGGATCTCTGAGCATGAATAGAGCTCAGAGGTTCTCCTTATGAACATGCCTGGTCCCATCCCCTTGGGAGGAGCTCTCTGAAGGCAAGCACGTTTTCTTTTTACAAGCTGTTCATCCCCACTTCTGCCATGGGGTCAAGAGTGGGGGGCAGGGAGCTGATCTGCACCTGAGAATTCCTCATCCTCAGAGACTGCTCCCACTGTCTGTACATCTTGCGTGTCCCCAGGAGTTGCCTGGCTCAGTGAAGCATCTGGCCTTGAGAATATCCCCTCCTCTTCCTGCATCTCCGAGTCTTGACCTAGCCCATCCTCCTCAATCTCACCGAAATATATTTCACTTTCCAATTCCGAATAGTCTGGAATGCAGTCAGCAGTCTGTGGGAATGATTGCCCAAGACCACCATCCTTCTTACTCCCAACATAAGCACCCAGTACCACACCCTTCCAGGCACCACAGACTCCATCAAAACTATTTTAATATTCCTGCTACTGAGGGAGAGAACTAGACTGAAATAAGTGGTATCTTACTTCAGCACTCCTCCAGCAAAACACTGGGGTTTGAGAGACTGCGTAAAATTATTCACTCTGACTAGAAGCTCAGCCTGTCAATCAGAAAACTTTCTCCCCACCTTTACCAGTGAATGACATGGCAAGTCATGTGTTTCCAGGGAAATTAGGGAAATCATGCATTGTTTGAGTAACATGTGGGGCATGCATGAGAAACCACGGCTTCTCCCCCACCCCCACCCCCACCCCCACCACCCCATAAGCAGCCAAACCCAATTTCTGTGTCCATTTCAATCTCAGAACTACAAATGTATTTTCAGAAGTGTTGAGATTAGTATTTGGTCTACTTTGGAAGAAGCCCACTTTGATTCGGACATTCCTGAATCTGTCTAAGTGAGCACAATTCAATTCTGGATTTGAGGTTCTGCTGAATCCAAAGCATACTCATGTTGAAAGGCATGAAAACATGGCAAAAGATTGGCTTAAGCATTCAAAAAGTAGAAAGTTCATATTAGAGTCTCTGCCAATTCAGAAAAGCATTACCGTATCCTTTCCTCACCTTAGCAGGCTGAGAAAGGCTGCTGCTATAAGCAGTGCATGCAAGGGAGAACCTAGTCACACTTCTGAAAACACTAGAACTATTTCTCAACCACCTTCTGCTTTTGACAGTGCGTATATTTGTACAGCAGTATTCCCATGATTAAATCTTA